CGGAAGTAACAAAGCAGTTGGCAATGAAACAGTAATGGTGAAACTCTTGATAATGAAACAGAATAATGGCAAATATGGTGAAACTAATACAAATGAAACAGGAATGGTGAAACACAGTACTGTACTTAACGACACATTATGGAGGTGAGGCTTAGTGGTGCAGATAGATAAATGACGCGATGTTCAGGAATGACGCCAGCCTGGGGTTAGGATTCACATAAGATCTCCTCTTTAACCACTGTATGTCACCTAACTTGTCTTAACTACTAACTCAGCGTATGTGGGTTAATTAGAGTCTCTGTGTTATTGTACTGAGCCATTTTGGATTTTAAGTACATAAGCTTCAGGTCAGCTCGTTAGATATAGAACTCTAGTACGATTTTGTCTTCTTTGTTATGTTACGAGAACGTATCTGAAGTTTCGGTGTAATTCGGATGACATTTCTGACTGTACTTTTGTATTTCGTTTTGTAGTCAAGACATAATCGTTTTTAAGGTTTACACGTACGAGAACAATTTATAATACGATTTTGTTGTTGAGAGTCGTGGTGTTGGGTAATACGTTTAAGCGGTATCGTTCACTGTCCAACATCAGACGACACTGGTTTCGAATTCAGACACACCCAGTTCATCCAGACGCACTTATCATAGCAGGAAATGTGATGAGTGCACCCCGGCCTCCAGTGTCCCGACCTCCCTCCCTTCCTTTATTCCTTTCCTCACCTCTCCCCCCCCCCTCAACCCTTCACTTCTCCTCTACCCCCTCTCCCTTCTCTTACTCCTTCCACTCTCTTCTCTCTCTCTCTCGCCCCTTTCTACTTCCCGTCCCTCTCCCTTGCTCGGCCTCCCCCAGCAAGCACACTGGTCCTTGATATGTTGTTGTTTTTAATTGCCTCGGATCTGTATGTATTCTTTTATTTATGTGTACAGTATGTTGGTGCACACTCGCATCTGAGTCTCGTCTCCTACAAGTAACTGCTTCCCACATCATGTTAGTGTGATACTGCGGGTAAATGTTTATGAATTATTATTTCAATAACAACTGTACAATCGACCTATATAAACTGTTTTTCAAGGACACACACACACGCACACACACACACACACACACACACACACACACACACACACACACACACACACACACACACACACACACACACACACACACACACACAGGAAAGTGCACGGCCTCAAGGAAGTCGGCATCGGTCAGTTGTACTCCAAGGTAAAAGATCTCTGTGGTCTCAACCGTCAGTCTCCCACACTTCCTTTCATCTCACATTTACCTAGTGAGGAGGCAGCTGAGATAATTAATAACCATTTTGCTACCATATGTCATACCTTACCCAGTCTTGACCTCACTCTCCTCCCAGCTTACTTACCTTCCCCCTCCCCCTCCCAGTGTTCAACCATATGAAATCGCCAACAAACTCCTGAAATTTAAATCCAAACGCTCCTCGACCCCAATTGACCTCCCAATCAAAATATACAAGGAGTTTGCAGTCGAACTTGCCACCCCCCTCTGTTCTATTATTAATGCATCCCTCAGACAAAGCAAATGCCCTAATGAATGGAAAACCGCATATGTCACCCCCATCCCCAAGGTCACCACCCCACAGTCCCCTAACGACCTCAGGCCAGTTGCCATTACCCCCATACCCAGTCTACTTTGTGAGGACTTTGTTTTTGAGTGGGCATTTGCCAGTATCTATCAGTCAATTGATGAGCTTGATGAGCTTTCTGGATTTTCTGCACAAAAACTTGCAGAAACGTAAGACATCACTGGCCGTTGCCCTTGTTGATCACTGCACTGTTATCAACAAGGCTATTGCACTAGGGCTGCCCACCAACCTGGTCTCATGGCTCACTGATTTCTTGAGTGGACGTCGCCATGCAGTGAGGTATCAGGGCTTGGTCTCTACATTCCAACACCTCACCTGCGGTGTTCCCCAGGGGACCAAGATGGGACCACTGTGCTTCCTCATCCTGATCAACGACGCTCTATGGCTATGGGACACTCCTCACAGGTGGAAGTACGTGGATGACTGCACTGTAGGGGTTTCAGTGGACAACACCGCACCAGACTACTCATCGCTACAAGGCACCCTGGACAGACTACAGGCACGGACTACGGAGAACAAGGTCACCATCAACCACACCAAAACCGTAGTCATGCACATCAATACCGCCACCACTCCAGTGCAAGCCCCAGCAGTCACAGTGGGTGCCCATCCTCTCCAGCTGGTGCAGTCTGCCAAACTCCTGGGTGTAACTATAGAAAACAAACTTGACTGGAAGGCCCATGTAAATAACACGGTCAAGGCAGCCTCGTACCGTCTCTACATGCTACGACGACTTAGGTCACTTGGGACACCCACGCCAGAGCTGAGGACCATCTACAACGCCTTTATTCTCTCCAAACTAACATATGCGTCACCAGCCTGGTCGTCTTCTCTCAACTCCACCCAACAACGTCAGCTAAAGAAGGTACAGAAAAGGGCCTGCAGAATCATGCTCGGCGCAGAATACTCCGGCTACACCAACGCTCTCTCCACCCTGGAAATGCCATCCCTCGGTAACCTCCACCACCAAGCACTGGAAAGGTTTGGCAGTGGACTACTGCACCACCCTTGTCATCGCCACCTCCTGCCACCTGCAGCCCTCCACCCAACTCGCGCAGTCCTCCACTACAACAAAATGCAACCCATAAGAGCCCGCACCGATAGATATAAGAACAGCACCATCCCATCTATTGTTAAAATAATAAACAACTCCTGATTTATGTACTGTACAGCCCTGTAAATGTATTCAATGCATATTATATCATTATGTCTAAATCAAATGTGAGTCTGTATATTTTCAGCCACCGGCTGCAACTCTATTAATAAACCGTTTATTATTAATATTAATATTATTATTACACACACACGGCAATCCCTCCTGGGTATAAAGGATAAATTATAAGATTTACCACCCTAACCTAACCTAACCTAACCACCTCCTCCAGGCAACGTTAGGGTGTTTGATTATATGAGAAGTAAGCTTGAGGGGGAAGGCTACTACTCTTCAGGTGACACATGACCGGGCGGAGTCTTGTGTCGCCGAAAGTGAAACTCCTTATCTTAATGAGTTTATCAAAGACTTGCCAACACTCGGGCTTCTTTTTGTTGTTATTCCCGTTAAACACTTGTCTGTTTGATTCTCTGGCCCTTATACCTCAACAACAACACTCGCTTTATCTGTTAAAAAAACAATCTTTAACTTATCAATTAAATTACCCTGTGCGTTATCTTAAGTTTTCTTGTTGTGTTGAAATCTTAAAAGTTTTGATTTAGATTTGATGTCTTCGAGAACTTAACCGTAGTGTGGTGTGAACGTAATCAGCTGTTAGAGAACGTTACCAGTTGTTAGAGAACGTTACCAATTGTTAGAGAACGTTACCAATTGTTAGAGAACGTAACCAGTGATGTCGTCTGAACTCTTAGAGAAATTTAGCTTTTTAACAGTGTCGAATGAACTTCTTGAGAACTCGTGGTCTTTGGGGTCAAGTGAACTCTTAGTGAACTCTTTTCTAATGACTTTTTGTACTGTTCATGAGTCAGTCTTAAGGGTTTTCGACATCAGCTGTAGGGTTGAAGAGCGTTGTTTTGTCGTCTTCCAGGTGATAGATGTACAGGAAATTACATACTAGTCAAATGTGAATGTTAAACCCCGTAGACTCGTTGATAGTCTCCCCTCCTCCCACCACTACCATCGCCTACCACCACTACCACCATCTCCTACCCACAACTACCACCATCTCCTACCCACAACTACCACCATCCCCTACCCACCACTACCACCATCCCCTACTCCACCACTACCACCATCCTCACCCACCACTACTTCACCATCCCTACCACCACTACCATCATCGCCTACCACCACTACCACGCCTACCACCACTACCACCACACCCACCACCACCATCCCCACCCACCACCACCATCCCTACCCACCACTACCATCCCCACCACCACTACCATCCCCACCACTACCATCCCTTTACCCACCACTACCATCCTGCACCCACCACTACCATCCCTACCCACCACACCACCATTCCTGCACTCACCACACTCACCATTCCTACCCACCACCACCATCCCTACCCACCACCACCATCCCTACCCACCACCACCATCCCTACCCACCACCACCATCCCTACCCACCACTACCATCCCTACTCCACCAATTTCACATCCCTACCTCCACCACTACCATCCCTACCCACCACCACCATTCCTACCCACCATCAACATCCCTACTCTACCACTGCCACCATCCCCACTACCTACTTCACCATCCCTTCCCCAATACACCAACCCTACCGACTACTTCAACATCCCCACCCACCACCAACATCCCTACCCACCACCACTATCCTTCCCACTACCACCGTCCCACGAATTTACCACCATCCTATCGACCACCACCATCCGCACCCACCACTACCATCCCTACCCACCACTACTCATCCCTACCCACCACTACCATCCTTCCACACTACTAATCTACCTTCAATGGCTTACCACCATCCCCACCACTAACACCATCCCTACCCACCACTACCATCCGTACCACCACATCATCCTTCCCACTACCACCATCCCTACCCACCACTACCATCCCTTCCCACTACCACCAACCCTACCCACTACCACCATCCCTACCCACCACTACCATCCCTTCCCACTACCACCAACCCTACCCACTACCACCATCCCTACCCACCACTACCATCCGTACCCACCACTACCATCCCTTCCCACCACCACCATCCCTACCATCACCCATCTCATCTTCGATCGTGGAAAGGAATTAAAATTTACGTCTTTTATTTTGCTTTTTAATTACGTATTTTGGAGAGAGAGAGAGAGAGAGAGAGAGAGAGAGAGAGAGAGAGAGCATCATATATATCCTCATCATATATTCTTATACCCGCTTCTTTTTTCCAGGTGGGTGGTCGTCTGTGTACCTGCAGCGTGAGTGTTTGTTTAACAATTAGTAGTAGTATATAGTAGTAATGGTAGTGTTAATAGTAGTAGTAATGGTAGTGTTAGTAGTAGTAGTAATGGTAGTGTTAGTAGTAGTAGTAATGGTAGTGTTAGTAGTAGTTGTATCTATTTTGTCAGTATTAGTTCCCTTCATAAAATATACAGTATCTATTCGCCCGTTCACCACTTCCCACCGCCCGTCCACCACCTCTGTCCACCCACCCCCTGTCCACCCATTCCCCACCGCCCGTCCACCTAATTTACCCGCCCGTCCACCCACCCCACCGCCCGTCCACCCACTTCACCGCCGTCCACCCACCCCCCACCGCCCGTCCACCCCACTCCCCACTCCCCACCGCCCGTCCACCCACCCCCACCGCCCGTCCACCCACTCCCCACCGCCTGTCCACCCACTCCCTGTCCACCACCCTGTCCACCCATTCCCCACCGCCCGTCCACCCCCACCGCCCGTCCACCCACTCCCACCGCCTGTCCAACGCACACCCCCACCGCCCGTCCACCACTCCCCACCGCCCGTCCACCCACTCCCCCACCGCCCGTCCACCCACCCCCACCGCCCGTCCACCCACTCCCCACCGCCCGTCCACCCACTCCCCACCGCCCCCACCGCCCGTCTGTCCACCCACTCCCCACCGCCCGTCCACCCACTCCACCGCCCGTCCACCCCACTCCCCACCGCCCGTCCACCCACACCCCCACCGCCCGTCCACCCACTCTACCGCCCGTCCACCCACCCCCCCCCACCGCCCGTCCACCCACTCCCCACCGCCCGTCCACCTCCCCCCACCGCCCGTCCACCCACCCCCCACCGCCCGTCCACCCACTCCCCACCGCCCGTCCACCCACCCCCACCGCCCGTCCACCCATTCCCCACCGCCCGTCCACCACTCCACCCCCACCGCCCGTCCACCCACTCCCCACCGCCCGTCCACCCACTCCCCACCCCCCGTCCACCCACTCCCCCACCCATCTGTACGTGTAAAATTCGATTCGGTTTAGTAACTTGAGAAGGACTTGATAGAACAACACAATTATTATCTAAGTCAACTAATATAATCCCTCCTTTTACAACTTTATTCACAATAGTTATGACTCCTGTTTAACCTTTAATTTTACAAGTTATATATTACTTATTCATATATAACTTGTTTCACGTAACTGTGGGTTTAATTATATATGTTAAATTCTTCATCTGGTGAAAATAAACCAACAGGTATTAATCAGCTTATCTTATTATCTTATTATCTTCACACACACACAAGAGTACGTGGCGGTGTTTATTACTTTGGGCGTTTAAATGGTGTGTAATCAATAAGTGATTTTGTATTTTAATGATAATGAAGTAATAATGATGCGAAATGGAATAGTAATACTGGTTATTGATAATACTGATCCTGAAAACAATAATAATGATGAAAGGATCACATGGAGATTAAACGCCCAACATAAGTGCACCTATCCTATCCTATCCTATTCTAACCAAACCTATCCTAACCAACCCTATCCTAAACCTCAGCATAAATGAACCAGATAAAAAAAATAAATTAAAGGATATTGGTGTGGTTGGTGTTTCATCTTGACACTCACCGCTGGGTATATACCATAGCGGGAATTCTAAACTTGCATCATGTGCAGTAAACGGCTCGGTATGGTACCCTGGTATCCATCCGGTCCTGAGTCGAGTAAACAAAGCTCCTCTTCCGTTTTTTATGTACTTTTTTCTGTGTGTCCGTGCGTCCGTGTCCGGCTTTGTTCAGAGAAAAATAAATTAAGACAATAGAAGTTCTGAGTGATGATATGCGTAAAGGAGAAGACTTTTAAGTGGTGTTGAAAGACATGGTACACTCCAACGTTGATGTTTTCCGGTGAATTTTTGAGTAGTGTGACTTTTTTTTTTCTTACCCCGCTGCCATCATGAAGCACCATGTAGGTCTCTCCACAAAGTATTCATTGAGTTGTTGCTGCTAGATTTAGACATAATTCAGTGATATTTTCCTTCTGTTTACTTTATATATGTGTGTGTGTGTGTGTGTGTGTGTGTGTGTTGTACTGTACTGTATAAGTAGGCCGTTGTTATAACTAGCGGTCCTTACTCCTTAACCCAACCTACCGAAGTACGATGCTTAACCCCTCGAATACGATGATTTAACCTCTTGAGTACGACGACAACCGCCTCGAGTACAAAGACAAAACCCCTGAGTGCAATGATGGGGTAGATGAAAACTGTATATTGAGTACTAATAGGAACAGCAGAGAGCAGGAAGTAAAGTTTAGTGGTCTAGTTCCGGGGTGGATGACACACACACACACACATGCTTTGATAATAATAATGATGAAAATTAAGCGTAAAGTCATATACAGTATAATCAATGGAGATTTGATGTGTCTCTTAAAGTTAACTCATACTATGGAATGTTATACGTATATTATTAATGGCTAGTAATATAATTTTTTAACAGCGTAAGATGTTAAGACCGGTGTATAAACTTATGGTACATTATCAAGTACTACTGGCTGGCTAGTTCAGATAAAGTATTTTTTTTAAATTTCTAGTTTGTTATAATTTTACTTGTATATTACCATGAACAAGATGAGGTAAGCACATAACACTACCTTAGTCAGGGTTCACTGGGGTTCTTTACCAAGGAGATAAGAATATACTTGGCCTAGCTATAGCGGTAGAATAGCCACCGAGACGCAAACCTTAACTACATCTGTCTGATTGAGGTCATTTTAAGAGACCAAATTTGGTAATGTTTTGGATATGAATTTTTTATTTTAAGTTATGATGCCTTGTTGAGGATGTTAAGTGAAGTTGTGTACGTAAGTTAGTCTCGGCGGTTATTTTGGTGTCGAATTTGTACGTTCATGATTTCGAGATAAATATTCACCGCACTAACCTCTGTGAATCCGGATCCCAGGATATTTAGATTACTTGTGAATGAACGTGATTGTTCAAAATGTCTTTATAGTTGTTTCTACGTATTGACGGAGGGTTAAATACGGTGCGTGGCGTCAAGGTTTCGTAGTGGACAATCCAAGGATATTTAGATTAAAAACATTCTAAGCCTGACTTGTCAAAACATATAGTAAATAACACTAGGAAACTTATGTCATATATTTTATAAGTGGGACTTCCAAAAAAATAAGTTACCAGACACCACAAGATGAATTTTTTGGTGTTTTTTTTAGGGTAATGTTTGTCGATACAGTTAGAGGCTACCGGTAGTAGTTTGGACAGTGTGTATATGACCGGTAATTCCGTATATATAAGTTCAAACCGGTAGGAAATTTGGTCAATATGATAGTGAGATGTTAGTGGTTATGGTAGCAGAGACACGGTGGCTCTCGGTCGTTACCCAGATAACAGCATCCGTTCTCTCCTCCCCTCTCCTCCCTGCCACAGGATACTGCTGTTCACGTCGCCCTCTGAGTTGACCACACTCTTTATTCTTTAAAACCATAACACATCTTGTTTTTAATGCTGAATTTACCTTAATGTTTTCTTTATTTTTAAGAGAAATAGTTTATTGTGTTTTGTGGTTTTGTGAGGTTGTTGTAAAGGAGTAAATGGAGTGTGTTAAGTGGTGGGCCGTACAGGATATACTAGAGATAAGCCAGGCTGTGTGGTTTCTTCCTCCCCGCCAGAGGTCAGTGTCATGGCTGTTACTAGGAGGTCTGTGTACTGGGGCTTACTTGGATGATCGTCTGTTTTATGCTATTTAACCTAACCTAACCTAACCTAACCTGATCATGTAACTAAAGAGAATAATAATCGCATAAAACTGACGATTGTCCAAGTGGGATGACACGGTACTGGGTTGGTTCAGGCCTCTCAACAATTATGGCGCTGACTTTATTAATGAAGACGTAAACAAGGTAAAAATGCACCTTTAAAGTTGACTTAAGTAAATTACGTATATTAATTTCAAAAACTGCATCAAAATTATATTAAAACTAGCTTTAGTTAATGCCCACTAACCATAAAGTTAGGAGATATAATTAAATTGGAATACAGTTACAAAGGATTTAATTCTAAGGCTATTTAAGATTAGTATTTTTGTACATATTGTTAGGAGGAAGGTTAAAAATGAAGACCTTGTTCCCCTGTTGTTATTTAGTAAAGTGAGTTGGGGTGTCCTCGATATTACCTTAAGCGTTTCTATAGTTACTAACCATAGCAATAAAATAAAGTGAGTAAATTCGCGGTGCGTGTTTGGGATAAATCTGAAATATAATTTACATCTTCTCATATTCTATCGTTGTGAATTGTTGGAATAATCTACCAAAAGGTTTTGTGACAACGCCAAGTATAGTAACTGTTTTCGGTATAAAATTGACAAATCAGGCACATGAATGCCCACTACTTACCAGTGGTGTATAACAGTAAAGTGACCGACAACCCCACCGTGTAGTAAGCTGACATGTTGCGATCGGTACCTCAGCTGCCCAGAGAGATTAGAGTGCCTGCAATTGCCCAGCTTATACTACAGACGGGCAAAGGGGGGGGGGCTAATTGATGTTTATAAACATCTCAAGGAGCACTACTCAGTCGAGTGTCCAAACCTGGAGCTGGCGGACGCCCACCCCACAAGGGGTCACAGTTATAAGTTGAAGAAGCCGCAAGTCGAGAAAACTGTGAGGGCAAACTTTTTCGGAGTGAGAGTTGTTTACTCTTGGAACAATCTACCAGAGAGTATTGTGCCGGCACCAAGTGTGAGCCGTTTCAAGACCAGACTTGACCAACAATGGAGCAGGTTCAGATACATTCATGAGCCAGTGCATTCCCACGCGGCTAACGAGATGATCAGTGGCGAAGAGGATAAAGGTAAAAAAGTTAAAAACTAGCATGCGCATTTGACTCCTGGTTTGCCAAGATGTATCAGTTAGCCGTGGTAAGGCCGTGTCGTTCTCTAGTGTGTGTGTGGTACTTAAGAAAACGCGGCTGATGGGGGAACTCTTCCATT